GTAAAGTATATCTCATTATTAAGTATTGTGTTTCGAAGATTTTTTTTTTTATGTATTAAGACTTTAATTAAAGCTTAATCACTTAAGGTTAGAAGGCTAGTCTTAATTAATTACTTAGGGCTTAGGGTTTGTATATTTCTCTTAGTTGTTTGCATTTTGTTTCGATGGTATAGAGACTCCGATAGTGTTAATTTTCATATTCTCTCGTTTTGCTTGTTGCTTTCAATCACTCTTGATTTCTAGTTTAGCTTAGCCTTGATTTATTCTAAATCTCATTGATTAGAATGTTAGGTCTTGTTTTCTCGTTTTTGTTTTTTGAATAATTGATTAGCGAACAAAGCTCCAAATAGCCTTCATTTGAGAAAATCTCGAGTTGGATACTCGGTTATCAACAATCCCCAAAATACTATTCAACAATAGCCCAAACCAAAAATACAAATCCTACCAACCAGAGCAAAAACAAAACGAAACCAAACAACTACTAGCTACAAAAGCCCTTCCAAAGCCGCACGACCGAACTGTACCAGCATACACCAATTCGACACAAGGAAAATCCCGCAGCCCAAGAAACCCGCCCCGAAACTGCTCGAAAACCGCTAAACGGTTGCCTAACGGACCCGAAACTCCAGCACCAGAACTCACCCAAAAGCGAACTGGCCCCACAGCCAGAAAACACCCAAATTGCCCCCAGAACTGCCGCTGAACTGAACCGATTATCACCACTAGCGAAGCTTGGCAGCACTCGACACATCCCCCATCCCAACGCCAGAGAAACAGTGGAAAAGGAGAAACATAGTTGCCTAGGCCCCAGCCACTTCTACACGGAAGCCGTGAGCCGCCTGAGCCAAACCGGACCCCATCCCACAACACCATACCCCGCCCAGCACCACCGCAGCATCAGGGAGGTCGTCGATCGAAAAATAGAGTGCAAAAGAAGGCGAACCCGACCGCTGGAGATCCACCACCACCAGAGCTCAAAGGCGTGAGGAGGTGCGACATCGGGATGACGGCCGAATGGCCAGGGGCCGACCACCGGCGAAGCCCAAATGCGCTATGGAAGGCGATTCTTCAGAGATGACGGCGAGCAAGTGCGAGAAAAGGGGGACGAAAATTAGGTTTATTTCTTACATAATTTACCAATTTAAAAAGAGCAAAATAATAAATAAAATAAAAGAGGGCAGGGAAGGTTTAACTTTAACTAGTTTTTGTCCCGTGCATTTGCACGGAAAACTATATAATATATGAAAAAATAATAAAAATTATAAACAATAGTAAAAAATCATAATAAAATCATTGACAAAAATTAAGAAAAAAATATAAATATTCTTAAACACTTCTTTATAAAACAACGTCGTGGTTTTTCTATCGTCAAAATCTCTCTCAGCTCAAATCAAAATCTTCAAACCCCACTGACTCGTAACTCTAAAAAGCGTCACGTATAATTGCTCATGACTAAATGCTGAGCTCTTCAGTAGTAAGCTGACGTGCGACAAAGACTATCTTTGACTCTTATTGATCATGTCATAGCATAGGAAACACTTCTTTATATTGTTTGTCCTTGACTCTTATTAATTGATAGGAATTGTCCTTGCTTCTTAATAAAAAAAATACCATCTAAATATAAATGAGTAAATATAATATTTATTTTTTATATAAACAAAAAATTTAAAGATCTGTAATAGATCTGTAAATATATGTATTTTCTTGAGTTTTTTTTTTAAAAAAAGCTCGTATCATGAGCTTTCCATTAGGGTTAGCTTCCAATGGACTGGAACCGCCCGCATCGTGATTTTAAGAGGCCGATTAAGGCCCTTTTGTTATATTTAATCACAGTCAGAATTTTTTTTACGTATGTTTAATTTTTTTTTCGTGGATTCAAGTTATTTCAACGATGTTCTTTTTATATATCTAAGATTTTTTTTTTCCTGATTTATATGAATATAAGCACATTTAACTAATTTTTATAAAATTTATTGAAAAAAGTTACTATTTTTTTTTAAAAAACTGATAAGATATTACGATAATACTGTACTTGACATAAATGTGGGATTAATTAAAATAAATCTTTTTAATTTAGTCATTAACTAATTAAATTTAACTATAAGAAATCTTCTTAAATGTGAGATTAATGAGTAATTAATCAAAAAAATGTAACTCCTTTTGGAGGGAAAGTGAAAATATTTTTATTAAATGTTTTATTAAATGCTATTAGCTAGCAATTATATATATATAGATGGATCTCGCCTGACCGAGAAAGACGCGAAGTTGGTACACGCCATTCATGACGGATGCATGACGTCGAAATCGATTCTTCGCAACGTTGACTTATGTAATAGTATCCTATCCACTGTCTGAGTATTTGCCCACAGAAATTAATGTACTATAGTAAATTAGTTAGCTTTGACCCGCAAATTTGGTCAAATATTCTTGTGTCATTATATTTTTTTTTTATATGAGTATTTTTCTTTTGCATTTTTTAAAGGATGCTTTTATTATGTGTACTTTTTATAATATTATTATTATTATTATTATTAGCACAAGACTTATGTATTACGTTAGTTAAAAACTCATACTTAATTTTAAAAAGGAGAGAAAAGGTCTTTTGTTTTAAATTTAAACACTTTTTAGACAAATCATACTATTATTTTTATGTAAGACGATACTTGTCACTTGTACAACTTACTCGTGTTATATTGTAATAGTTTTTCTAAAGCATATCATATAAAAATTTTACAGATAATTTTATTTTTTAATTGATAAAAATAGATAACTTAGTTTTTATTATAAAAACAAATATAAGTATTTATTTTATATATCTAATATGGATGTCAAATCTAAATGATTAATTTGATATATAATATACAAAAATTTTATAACAAATATAAAAGTTATTGACTTTAACAACATATTTTATTTAATTTAGTGAAGTGTTTTATAAAAAAACTATATCAACTAGTCACATAATTTAACTAAAAAATAAGTAAATTATTGATGATGCCTTTTCCCCAATTTGGTCAACATGAATAAGATAATACAATTAAGAGTTGTTTTCAAATTTAATTTAATTGGTTTATGATAAATGAAACAAATGTAAGGTTTATAACAACTATGACTATATGAGTCTTGGCCGAGTAACATAGTGGATTAAATTGTACTAGTGGGATTCAAATTAATAAATTCCACAATAATAATATTTTAATCAAATTATCGAATATAGACTAAAAATATATATAAATAAATATAAAAAACCCTAATAAGGTTGAGGATGATGTTATTAGGAACTAAAATCTCAATAAACCGCAAAAAAATTTAAATACGCGTAGAAAGTTTGAAAAGGCAATATTCGAAACAACTAATATAAAATTAGAATCTTATAAATCGATTTACGAGAACTGTAAAGTTTTTGTTCACCCTCGACAGAATATATTCCATTGGACGATATGACAACAAGTTTATATCATTCTTTTAATCCTTATAAGTAGACCACACATGTTTCTTACTTTGTTATAAAGATATTTTTCAATGTTCACAAGCACATATCATAGAAGCTTCTTAACTTCATTACACAATTTCTACATTATTCAAACGTTCACGAACACATCAGATTGGAAATATGTCCTTAAATTATTAACAAGCAATAATTAAACTAATTAAGTAGATTAATTAGTTGTTAGAATGATGAATAATATATAGGGATTAGCGAAAGTTTAGAGAGGAGTTATGAGCGGGAAGTAATATGATTTATATAAAGCATGGAATCTCTCGAGACATAGACCCTCTTACCTTTATAATATTGCTTTGGAGAATTTAGAATATAAATATTGTATATTGATATAATAGCATCAAATATATAGATGGAAAGTCAGCTCTGGATGATGAAACTATCTCATAACATATTTTTATAATATTATAAGATTGCTACATTAGATACTCATTTGTTATATAAATGTAATATTTTAATTTAGATGAAATAAAAATTTCAACGAGCTTATTTAAAAAATTACACAAACAAGTTTATCTCGAGCTTTATGGGCCATCTTTCTCTCAGTCTCCTGCGTGAAATACAAACAAAAATGAATTTAAAGAACGATTTTATTCACGTCTAACTTTTCCTTTCTTTTTACTTTTATTGTTCAGTTTATATTGAAAGTTTGTAATTGAAATACCGATTTTGATATATCAAACACTAACTAAAAATTTCCCGCTTTAAAATTACAAACCTCTCCTAAAAGTTATTATTAGAGGTGCTCTAATTACTCAATTGAACTTGTCAAATATTACTATGTCAGTCAATTCCCAATTGACCCAAAATAAGAAAATATTACGTGTCTTTTGGGTAAGTCAATAGTCAATACTATTAATCTGGACCGCGTTGGTATCGGGCGCATTTCCTTTGTCCCTATCATACTTTACTCCTTTAACAACACACATTTTTGTGTCCTCGCTTGGTCACTTTTTCTCCCCCTCAATGGGTCTTACATTCACACTATAGATGATGTCAACAAGTTGACCTTGATATATACTATGAGTTTTTGAAAAGTATGTTAAAAAATGAGTTTTTATTTTATTTTTTTAAATTATGCATATATCTAAGAAAATATAATAATTATATCTTATTTGTTATAAAAATAATAAAATTTTAATTAATATTTATTATTAGTAAGAGTTATGTGAATTCATTTGAGAGGAAAAAACACGGGACAATTAGATATAACTTTTTTTTAATTAATGATTGGATACAAGATTTTTTTATTTTTATTTGACCATTCAAGATTTTCCTGAATCAAAATAGAGATGAAATAAGAATTTTACAAAAATATTATTAATTTTATTTTATCTTTCTTTCTATAACTCGACAAATACAATTAAAAACACGTAATTAGGCAGCAACAACAAATTATTCACTTACCAATAAGGCAATAACGTGTGAATAATTCACACGTTCACATATTTTTTTACTGCTAATAATAATTATTATTTATTAATATTTTATTATTGGCCTTTTCTTGATTAGTTTATTCAGTCATGTCTACACCCTCACACATATATATACACACAGAATTTGTGTGTATAATCGTCGTCTCCCACATGAAAACACATCTCTGTACTCTGCAGCTAAATACGTCTTTCTCACTCTACATCTCTCCGTTTCCCACTTGAAGCTATCTCTCTCCACAATCCACCCTGACACAGCGCCAGAGCGCACAAAAAACAACTTTTTTCTTGTCGAATTAGTTTAAACCATGAAGTGTTTCCAGTTATTCGGCAAACAGAAGCTCAAGTGCGGCGATTCAGCTCCGGAATTGAGCGGCCGAAGCAGAAGGATAAGCAGCGATGAAGGCGCCAGAAACCGCGCGGCTCAATCGGCGGCCGGCAGCTCGTGTTCCCCTCGCCGGACAATACCTGAGATTTACAGAGAGAGGGAGCACGGCCTGCGGGTGTTTTCTCTGTCGGAGCTCCGTGAGGCGACCAACAATTTCAACAGGCTGCTTAAAATCGGCGAGGGCGGGTTTGGAACCGTTTATAAGGGCTCCCTTAAACCCGCCCCGCCAAATCGGCCCAACATTGTCGCCATTAAGAAGCTCAATACCCGTGGGCTGCAGGTAAACGATGAGGGAAATCCAATCTATGGGTGCGGCCATTTTTTTATTATTATTTTTTATGTGCTTTTGCGATAGTAAATTTGTTAGAATATCAATTGTGAGTTGTTTACACATGGAAAATAGATATAACTTATAAGCTTAGTGGACTACTCCTTATTCTAATTTTAGGATGGAACCTCACTAAGGCTTATCAAGCCTCACCTGATATGGTGCGTGTTAGAATATCACTTATGAGTTGTCCTACATCGTCCGTACATGGAAAATAGACCGACCTTATGGAAAGTAGACCGACTTTATAAGTCTAATGAGCTACTCCTCCTTTCACCAATTGGTTTTAGGATGAAACCCCACTTGGGCTTTTCTCCGTTCATGGTGCGCTTCATGTTTAGGGACCGCACCCGTTTTCCCCCCAGTTTCTGTCAATGCATTTATACGGGGAAAATAGACCTAATTTATAAGCTAGTAGGCTACTCCTCCTTCCACCAATTGATTAATCGAGGAAATTTTGTTCTTATTGTGTTTATGTTGGATTATCATCTTGTGTTGGGAAATTACATGTGAAAAATGGGTTTCGTTCTTATTGTGTTTGTGTTGGACGATCATCTCGTGTTGGGAAATTACATGTGAAAATTGGAGGATCGGTTAATCAGGTGGGGGAATCTATAGAAAAATCTCTTAGAGAGATTGTCATAAGCTGCATCGTGTCATTTTTGCTATTAGTTGAGTTAGTTTGGAGGATTTCAAATGTATCTTAAAGTTGGGGCTATCTGGGTTATCTGGTTCGAGTTTTGGCTGTTTCTGATTAATTGAGATTTAACTGGGTACTGACAAGTCTTCTTCTTGATCATATCTTAGATATGTTGTTCTACTTTTTCAGAATAATTTCCCTCTGTCTGTTTTTGTCTGTCTGTCTTAAATACTCACGTTGCTAATGCGGCACGTTCTGTAATTTGCCACTCCACCTAGTTAATAGGTTGTTAGGAGGGTACACTTGCATGGACCATCTAAAACCTGAAGCGCTTGATTGACTTCTCATAAGCTTATTCAGTAGCATGAATTTGTAATTGCATGAGTTTTAAGCGTTAAGAATCAATAACTATTGACGAGTATGGGGCTCTCTACCATCCACAATGCTTTGTATTGGGTGTAATTTTGTTTACATGGCATGTAAATAGACCAATTTAGATGACATTAAATGAAAATAACTAAATTCATTCCAATGCAAAGAGATCGGGTTTCTGCTTGAGTCTAAAATAGGCTTAAGGGTGGACTGAGTCTCAATTTCTTGCTGCCACATCAGCAGAATCCAGTCCACTTCCACTTCCATTGGAGAATATCTTTTCTTTTTCTAGACTTGGTCTGTTTCTTATGTGGCATGTAATTTTTTTTTACTGGACCCAAAGCATTATGAATGCTTTATGGTGATGAGAATAGTGACCTCGTATCTTTGCCGTGGAGTCAGATTTGTACTTCAATACATCACACTTCAAACTAAGTATGTGTTATTTTGTAGTTTCTTCGTAGTTTATCTAGAGTTGACTGTTAATTTTTCGTGTATCATGTAGGGCCACAAGCAATGGGTTGCTGAGGTACAATTCCTTGGTGTACTGGATCACCCCAATCTCGTGAAGCTTTTAGGATACTGTTCCTTAGATGGAGAGCGGGGAATACAACGGCTCTTGGTTTATGAATACATGCCTAATAAAAGCTTGGAGGACCATCTTTTTAACCATGCTGTGCCAACAATTCCTTGGCTAACCAGAATAAACATTATCCTTGGGTCGGCTCAAGGAATGGCATATTTGCACGAGGGCTCTGAAGTCCAGGTACTTTATTTTTCTTATCTTTGCAATTCCCAAACACTGGTTACTAGAATGGCTGAGTTCTGTGTTTGGCGAACAGAATGAATTTTTTTCAACAGCTAGATAAGATCCGATTCTTGGGACCACTTATAAATGATTTAGTCTTATAAACTTTAGTATTTTCCTTTACTCATGTTGGAAAATCTGTGAATTCAACAATGATATACTAGGAATTGTTAGTTACTTTTCTTCAAGATCCTATTATTTTCCATTGATTTTTCTTCATGATCCCACCGTAGTTGATGAATCATGAGCTGCACATATTTAAATCAATATTATTCCTTGGCACCGAGAACTTAGTGAAGCTAGGGACAGGCAGAAGGCTCGGCTCATCTTAAATCTCATTTTTGGGTGCCAAGAAATTAGCTCGTGTTCCTGTGCAAGCTTAAATTTTGATGCATACATATTATTACGTTTAAAATGGTTGTTTTATCTGACCAACTCTCATTTTCTTAAATGCGAAGGTGATATATCGAGATTTCAAATCCTCCAATGTGCTACTGGACAAGGACTTCAATGCCAAACTCTCTGACTTTGGGCTGGCAAGAGAAGGCCCAATTGGGGATCGCACACACGTATCTACTGCGGTAAGTCCATGGGACGATTTGCGATAAATTAGGACTCTGGTTTATTTTAGATGGACATATGCAACGATATAACATTCGTATTTTTTTTTTTATTCATAAATTTGAGTCATGATTCCTACATTTTTGAAGTTCCAATGGCAAAACCATATACCAAAAGTTCTTTAATTGGAATTAGTTCCCATCCAATGTGGATTCTTTCTGATTTGTCTATATTTTTGAGATGCTAGCCCATCGGTACACGTGGATATGCGGCCCCAGAATACGTCGAGACTGGCCATTTGTCAGTAAAGAGTGACATATGGAGCTTTGGTGTTGTTCTATATGAGATACTGACAGGAAGGCGTACATTGGAAAGACATCTCCCCTTGTCTGAGAGAAAGCTACTGGAATGGGTAAAGCTTTTTCCGGCCGATAGCAAGAGGTTTAGCACGATTATCGATCCACGCCTCCATAACCAATATTCCTTGACTGCTGCTCGGAGGATTGCGAAATTGGCTGACATGTGCTTGAACAAAAACCCGAAGGATCGGCCCACAATGACTCAAGTTGTGGAGATCTTGAAGCAAGCAATGGAAGACTCCCAAGAATTTTCTCGTTCTTCGTCAATGACAACAAATGACTCAAATGAAATGTTAGCAGCTTCCCGACACCTACCTCAGATGGCACAGGCAAGTTTTCTCGAATATTTGTTCAGTTTTTGAATTTGGAAGGGCTCTCCTTCTCGGCTAACCATCCCCTTTTCTTTTATTGAAAAATATGACAGGCTTGAATATGTGATGGATAGTTGTCCGATGAAGTTTTGCTACTTGGAAATTATGCTCGTGTTCATGTACATATGAGTATCTTTAGAATACCTCTGGATCCAGAGGTATTCTAAAGAACTATAATTGATACTAGGAAGAAGAGGGTGTGGAGAGGTTGTTACCTCTGGATCCAACAGATAGTTCTTCATGTACATACTTGGACATGATTTCGTATATCTGTTGTGAAGAACTATAATTGATACTGGGAAGAAGAGGGTGTGGAGAAAATTTCAGTATAATTTTGATATGTTGTAGAGAGATGGTGGTTATCGTTAGTCTTATGTTCACAAAGATGCAAAAGCAACTTTTTATCTCTATTGTAACTTGTTTCATTAATATAAAGCTGTGAAGTAGTTATGTTTCTTGAACTGAGATAGCAACTTTGCTCACAGAGTAATGGTGTACATTATTTTCTTTACATAAAGTTGTGTATACTCAAATTGGGGAGGTTGGCACTCATTGGGTTTCCTCAAAGTTCAAAAATTTTGGTTGAATCTTCATTATTGCAGGGATGATTCGATCCTACACACCTGCAGTTCACATAACGGGGTTTTCACCGTTAGATCAACACACATACACATACCCGATATCCGCACTGCAACTGTGTGTAGGCTCGAATCCACCATTATTGCAAATCAAGCCAAATTTTACAGTACTACTGAGATTTAGGAATATGAAAAATTTATCATATTCACATCTAAACAAATTAGCAATACTTCAATGTCCCAATTAACTGGAATCTAACTGCTTTTATCATGTATTGTCAAGAGCTGGTGTATTTTTTAGATGTATACTTACTATACCAATGTAACAAACTATTTGTATAATGAATGATCTCTCATTACACAAGGGCAGCATCAGCATCAGCTTCACTCACACTCACACCCGTCTGCCCGACGAACCCAACATACAGATCCGTCCCCATCCTGTCCTCCGCCAGGCAGCCAACCCCTGCCCCACCCGACATTCTCCTCACAAACTCCACAAAATTCCTCCAGCTGTCCGCCTCGAACAGCCGCTTATTCATCCTCAGGTACGTAAACCCGCACATCCTCCCACCCCCCTCCGCCACCCTGGCAAAACCCCTCGAGTCATACCTCTCGAGCGCATTCTCCCCGGCAAACTCCGCCACCGCCGCCGCCCGTACCTGCCGGACGAGCCCCTCCGGCGAGGCTCCGGCCCCTCCCGGCTGCTCCCCGTCCCCCATCTCCATGCACGTGAAGTTGAGCGCAGCTCCATAACGAGCCAGCATGCGCGCGATTGGGAGGTAACCTTCTCGGCCAAGAGTATTATAATAGCCGGCCGTGAGCTCGGCCGCGTGGGACCTCGTTCGGTAGTGCCAGTGAACGCCCGCGACTTTGCCCGAGAGCTTTGCTCCCGTGCCTCGGAATATCTGCGAGGCGGGCTCGAGAACGCGTTCGCCATGCTCGAGCAGGCTTCGGGAGTACCAGTCGAGGAAGAAGTGGCCGTAGTCGCTGACCCATGTGCCGTCGTGCCGGAAAAAACCGGTGTCCTCTGGGGAATGGTTGTAGCCGCCGGAGTCGTGGGGCCCGTAAAGGCCCCACGAGTCACAGCCGATTGCTGACGCGGCAGCTGCCAGCGAAGCGCGCATGTACTGAAAAAATTATTGTTGTATTAATTTTTTTTTATTGGAACTCTGTTTGTTATGTGTTTGTGTGTGTGTGTGTGTTTTTTTTTTTTT